ACAAATTCACTTTACCCTCTTAGACCTACCTATGCTGGAAGTTTTTTTCTGGTTCAGCATTTCGAACAAACTCTTTAACAGAAGGTATGAAATTTTGAATCAACCGATTCATTTCATTTTCTTGAAATGTTATGATAATAACTACGAAACGCATGAAAAACACAAGTTGGACAAATTTCATCTACCAGGTTTAGACGAAAATTATTCAATGACTGATAAATTGAATTTTTCTTCCTTGCTTTTTAATCAATTTTTCTTTAATATCGTTCTCAGGAACCAATTCATTCAGTCAAAAGCAACAGTCTGAAACTAGACGTTGTCCGTCTAATCAGCAATTGAATAGAGAACGTACAACGGCAACACAACTACAGTTACAGCAAGAACGATTAACAACATCCGAAGTTCGTATTGAAATGGAGCATGACTCAAACAATGACAATAGTGCTTAGAATTATGTGCTCGTTATTCAATCTTGAATTGCTTAAATTGAACATTAAAAAAGATACATGGAATATAGACTAGAAACATTCCTAAACATAGATCCTTTTTATTTAAAACTCATTGATAAGTATAGATCATAATATAATAAATATCTGCTCATCTTCCAAAATGAGATTTTTGCACAAGCCTTACGAACAAGAATATTATACCTGTTGTGAATATCTCGAGTTCCAGCTAATTGATATCTTAATCATGCATTACTCACAAATATTTTTTTCGCGAGGGTTAAGACACGCTCCAAAACTGAAATTACACTTTGAAAGTATATGAATCTCGATGTTATGCACATGTCAGTGAGTGTGAATGTAGCTCGGAGTGGGTACGAGTTCTGAGTGTTTTTCTGTAGGTATGGGCGTACATGAAGATAATGCATGACTATGTAGATGAGAAGAAATCTCAAAACGTCCAGCAAGTGTCGAATAAACTCACAACTAAAGTATGGTGTGGATGCGAAGGTGTTATAGCTCCCAGAATACTTGGTATTTCGGTATTGCTGCGGCTTATTATTTTATCAAGTTACAGAGAATACTAAATATAGAAGATCCACGCATATAAATTTGCATCAACATCCAATATCATATGTATTCGTAAAATCAATAGATTCATATATATATAGAAGAAAATAGAAGAAATCCAAAGCATCACGTGGCGCGCTTCATGTATTACAGGTGGGCGAATATTCAACATAGTTATGAACTACTCAGGGCACCCACATCTGTTACTATATGCCGTGCGGGCTTATATATTTGTGTGACTTTTATGCAATGCTTTCATTGTTGAGATATATTGGGGGTCAATATGTATCAGAATATCTCCTCGTACTGACAATGATTCATCTATCTATTGTTGTATGTAGCATAGTTTCCATTGAAATAATCATGAATGGTTCTTGTTAATATGTGATAAAGTGCTGATATTTGTCGTCGGTCATGTTTAAAACTCTTTCCAATGAATTGAAGTGTTAAGTGTATTTCATAAAGGATGTATTTAAATCTAGTATACTCCATGTTGACATAGAACTAATTGAGATAAGATAAAATTATTTGCATTTTTGTTATGATATACATATGTGTTGACTTTCTATGGCATGTTTTGTTATAGCAAATGATGATGCCGTCAATCGTAATATTGATCGAATTTATTAATGTCGAATAAATCTATAATACGCAAAAGCTATTCATTTAGAGTATCTTATTTCTTGATTGTGGTCATGGGTAATATAATATCACTATGAGAGGATAAATTGTATTTATTATGAAAGGAAATTCATTATAAAAGTAATCTAATGAATATGTAATAATAAATGTGGTTGTTGGCTAGGAATACAAACAACCACGAAAAACCAAACAAGTGAAAATAATCAAGAACTATTTCTACTACTGGTATAAGTACTAAAAATACAAATCATTCATTTCAATGATATTTAGTTTGAATAAATAAGTTGAATAATGATGGATAAATGCTGGTTGATTATGAAAAGACTGCTGAAGATTAAAAGAAGTCATGAATTGTAGAAGACAGCCTATGGAGGCGTTATTTTTTCTTGTCTCATTCAACGGTGAAGTCATGATATGTATTATGTAGAATTTTTCTATTGATAATGACTTTTCACTTTGTTCAATTATTCGTTGTTCATCTTAATCTGACGATGAATCATCGACGTTGTTGACAATGTCATCAGGTGAACTGTCTAGATACTCATAAAAATACTCATTATCACCTAAATTTAAAGTCATTAATAAAATTTGTTCAACTAAATATTCTCTCTGCCAGTGTGTTATATATAAGGGAAGAACATCTGTTTCCAGATTTTCCCGTATACATACCCACACATCTTCAACCCTTTAGATTTCACTATATTGGAGGAAGTCTTTTTTGGTTTCGAACACATACGGTCATTTTGTATAAACACTAGAAGTCATTTTGGATTTCAAGGACAAAGAATTTCGCCGTGTATCATTTACTAGGTTCGGAAATCTGAACTAAAGCCTTAAACGATTTTAAAAACGCATCTGGTGTCATATCTGTACATTTCAGAGTATTTGATTCAAATATTTACATATTCAGACAGAATTTTTTATCTTTCCGCAATAGGCTCTATATCTGAACCAACGAAAAGAACAAAATGAGTAGGACATTTTCAGCCTTTTACTAACCACTCAGCTCATTTAGTTCGCCCTATCATTAGAATATGTACATAATTCATTTAGTCGATTATTAACAACAAGAATTTCATTGAATTTCAAGTTTCCAGTTAAACTTAGCTATCATCAGTGATTAATCATTAAGTAATGCAAGATAATATGGTTACTTTCATCCTTGTTTTACAATTTGATACTGAATATGATGTTGATTGCGTTAAACAGCAATCAACAATGATCAAACTTTAGATTCAATCAGAATCTGACACGGAGTTAGTGCTTATCAACAGTTTTTTGCTAAAGAAGGAAGGAAAATTGAACAAAAGTAACACTGTATGGAAAGTGGTAACGCTGATCCATTGTCGCTATCTGGAATTTTTATCTTTTCCCCACATGATTTCCTGTGACATGGCTCAATAGAATTAAAATTACTGCTTTATGTTTCATTCTTCTTTTAGGACTTGCCAACAATCTAAGCATATAAATAGAGCTCGACAGTTGACAACATTACACAACCACCAGTTTTGTTCACGTAAACAAGGTAGCTTGGGTTACTACAAAATGAACATAGTTTGTATCCTATACCGTTTTTTTGTAAACTTTCGAACAGTTCGTGATTCTTAAAAACCTGTCGCTTTTTCCAGTGTTACTTTTGAAAGTTTCCCGTTTCTCCTTTTCAGAGAACAATTATCTTCACGGATGTAAATTGACATGTGAGTGTCACAAGAGAAGGCACACACTCAACACATCCTATTTATTCGAAATATGTTGTATAATGCAATGTATTATGTTTTCAACGAGATGACATCATATGCAAAAGTCATACATAAATGGTTATGATAAAATGAAAGAATGGGCACTCTCTAAACATTTGTGACATCATTTGTCTATTACCAGATTGGCAATGTTATTTATGTTTATCAAAAGAAAAACCTAGAAGAGAAAATAAACACGATGGCAAAACATGATATTGTCAGAAAATTTCTCCTGATTTATCACTTCCGAGTTAGAAATATTATTCCCATGTGCGATAAAGCGCTATACATGCGATTTCAAGAATTGATTTAGTTTGTCGTTTCGTGTGAAACTGATCATGAATTGGAAGATGTAGTTCAAGGTCTATATATTTATTCAGGACTTTTATACGTAGATCTCTTATGAATTGGCCCATTTCTAAACTATTGCTACATTTTGACTATCGAAAATGAAACATTTGTTGTATTTTGGATACAATATCTAACTATATAAATGGCGATAAGCTCTTAGATAACGGCTATCAAGAATACCATATTCAAAAACGGAAATTGAACGAGGATGCTTCATTATCGTACGGCGATTTTATGTGTAAGAATTCGAAACGAAATAAAGTAAAGAAAAAACTGAAGAAACATTTCGAGGAGCAACTAAGCGATGTGAATGCGCATTACAGTGGCACATCCATACACTCCACACACATAACCACACTTCATATCGACATCCACACACCTACAATACCCACCCAGAAATGGTTGAAGAGCTTCGAACCAGAACGAATTCGCCCTTGTTCGTTTGTGGCTCGAATTCCCGTGGAGAATCGACTTTTCTTTACCTTTGTTTAAATATCGGCAAAATTCTTCCGTTTAGTGTCGAGCTGCTTCAACCACGTTAGGAATCAGAGAAATATCACTCTTCAATCAGCTCAATCCGACTTCACAGTTAAAAGAAATTGGACGTTCATTGAAAAAGCATCTAGAGTGACCAGTCCGTATCGATACGGTATGGGAGATGTTTTTTGCATGATCTCGTCAATGCGTGGAAATTCGAGTGTCTTCATTGGTCCTGAAGCTCCTTCTTGATCCTTACGATACATTAGGATTCCTCTTCGGTCATCAATAAGAATTTCTCAATACTGATATATTTAGAACGCCCGACCATGTTTGTTCGATGGTGTTCCTTCTATACGAAAATGCGTCGGTTACTTAGTTGAATAAGAAAGAAAGTTATCGACTTCTTTTCATGATTAAACTGTTCATGTGCTTGAAGAGTTTTTATTATAAAAGATGATCTACATAAGGCGGTTGGAGAAAGACTGAAAAGATTCTAGGAGAGACAACTTCTCGAGCTCTTTCTATAGGTGAAAGAATTAACGATTGTTATATAGGGATGATTATCTAAAAAGCTACGGAAAAATACAAATAAGCTTGGATTAAGAATCGAATTCTAATCAGACTCTGTTGGCATTTTTTAGACGTTATTACGAGAATCATTGCATTTCTGAGTTTTTTTTTAAATTAATATAAGAGTGAATTAAACAAGTGATGATAATTGTGATCGATGTTAAGACAACAATACGAGGTATGATGAAAAAGTGTATTGTAGTCACTTTGGATTTCGAGATGAATTCTTTGTTGTTGACTTGAATTCCGACAATGATTGTTTAATTTGTTGAGGTGACCATCTCAAACTTGGTGCATCAAAATATGGTACTGGTTCATAATATCGATTTCCAGAAGGATGCCATGGAGTCGATGATTCTCGAGTAAATTTGGACCGCTGATTTGAATTCGTCTTTGATCGAGAACCATTTGTATCTTCTTCAGGCTTTTGTACTTTGTTCTCCTCACTTGGTGTTTTAGGTCGTTTATATTTGTTTGGGCCAGGTGGATACCAAGCAGGTTGTGAGCTCTTGCGTGGTTTTACAACAATTTCAGGTAGGTTATTTGGTGGTTTAGGAGGTGGATCTTCATGCACAACAGGTACATGGTAAACTCCAGTCGGTTTCCATTGTTTACCATCTGGAATGACGCTGATGGTCGATCGAAGAGATTGACGAAGCGAAAGTGGTGGAGTATTTTGAACACGAAATTTGCGTTTTTTACTATCTATTAACGGGTTCCAACGATTTCTACGGGATGTTGTAGACAGAGGCGCCGTCTCGCTTCTAATGTCCATTTCAGACGTTTCTAAAATAGTATTCAGATTTTTCCTGTTAGTTCAAAATTTCGAAAAGAAATATTGCATCAAACGGAATTCGTCAAAAAACGTATTGACAATGTTTCTATCTTACCATCTTTTTTTCTTTTCTATAGCTCAAAAACAGAGAAAAAACACCGTGACTAGAGAACTAATTTAGCACTATTCTTTGTCAACCTTTCTGTTTTGATTCGACATTACAAAATCTATATGTGAATGTATAAGGTAGTCATAAAACAATGAAGGATAAGACACACAGAAAAATACAATGCATGTTGCTTCCACTTGATATCAAGTGATTTATATAGTCGTATCTAATATTTCAGTTAAGATTTTATTACCCAAAATCGTATTCAACGGTAGTTATAAAACTATCATATATTCAGATGAATTTAAAACCTACGTTTGCATGCTTTTAAAAGTTCTTAATTCTTTTAATGAATTTCAACATCTGTCACAAAGAAAATACTCGTGTTGTAAAGATCATCTATGACATATATGAAAATACGAACAGTTATGAATGATTTTGTCAATGTATGTTGTATAACGCAAGTAGCCAAAGTACAGAATGACCTAAAGAAAAATCTGTGTAATTCATCTAAAAATAGCTCGGGGTGAGGTTGTGGCTTGGTTTATCCTATCGTCATGTATACTCACACCCATATTCGCATCCTCCTTACGAACATATATTTCTTAGAAAGCCCTAAGACTGAAAGTTCGAAAAAATTTTTCATTGGGAAATAGAGAAGATGGCGTATTTCTACGGAAGAAGTGCTTGGATACTCGGCATCTCTACAAGGAATCTTTATATGGTATAAATCTATCTATTACAATGAACTCATTAGTTCTAAGGTAGTTCGGCATCTACCGCACATTCCTGTACTTCTCCAGCACTTCTGAGTTCATTAATATGTGACACCTCTCATTGTTGTAAGATCTCAATTCCACAATGCATCATAGTTGTTTGTAAGAAAAAGTTGATACAAACTTTGAGTACACAGTAGACAGCAGATGCTTGCTGATATCGAATGAAAACTGCTGTGGATTGATGGAAAAAATGTTTTCTACATGTGTATCATGATTCATTAAAACTTCTATCTCAGAATACAAGACGAGAAGTATGTTGGTGCGAACTAATATCAGACTCATGTGTAAAATGACAATTTTTTTTCTTTCAGTTCCTCTATCATTTGTTGGCTAACCAACGCTTATGTATCTGATAATTGATATACTGTTATCAGTGCATCATTTTTTTTGCTTACCTTTGTTTCAACAAGACTCATGAATATCATTACGATTAGTAAAAGAATAGAAGACCTTGACTTGAGCGTGTTGGTGGGGGTGTGTTTATATATGAATAAATTGAATTCTAAGCTATGTATGACCGGTTTTATCCTTGCTTAAGAAGTTATCAGATGGTTTAAGAATAAAGTTCAGCCTTAGAATAAGTTCAATGTGCCTGCAGGTATCGAGACTTATTTCTTTCAAATTCATTGGAACATTTCCTGAAAATCTTTAGTATTGTGAGTCAAACCTCATATATTACGTCAGTATAAATAGACTATCAATGTGTGTGTATGCATTTGTGAATGTGGACATGCTGAATTATCATCAGGATAATAAAATCAATATAAATTCTCCATAGTCAAATAAATTCAGTGACAAAATTTGCGCAGTAAAAAGAAATCGCTACACTCTAGAAAAAAAATTCATTTTCTAAAATACTCAAAAGTAATTTGGAAACGTTTTCGGAAACTTGCCAAGGATTTCGTCAAGGGTTTCCGCGCCCAATACTCGTTTTCAGAAGTACGTCCTTGATTTTTGAAAAAACCGACACGGACACTATAAAAGTTTTACCAGTACTCTCATGTTTTTGTCCAAAATCTAATTAATATTTTCAGAAATGATAAATATATATTTGTAAACTGTTTTGACTAGAAAAATTTATTTCGAACCGGAAGAGATGTCTGCTGATACTATTTCAGTTGTGGACGTATTTTATTGGACACCAAACGAGTTTTCGAGATCCTTGAATCTCAAAAAGATAGAGTGGAACGTCTATAAATTCCCAAATATTCTTAAGTCTCTAGGAGACTACCCAAGTTTCGCAAACCTTTCAAAAAATATTCCCTAAAGCAGATTTTAACATCGAAAATCTATTCGAAAAAAACATCTTTGTGCATTTGAATTTTCGTATTTTTGGCCCTCTTTAAATCTACATAATTTTTAGACAACTGGAAATGCCTATAGGTTCAACACATTGCATTTAATCATCGCTTAATTTGTTCCTGACACTCATATGCTTCAAAACCTAGAACCGTTTCGTGCTCTGTACATAATCTAGCAGCATCTTTACCTTTTTAATTTAGCTTCGAACACCGAGATGCGAAGAAAGAATATAATCTTGACATGTACAAACAAGTGAATAGAAGTATTAGTTGAAGAACTTTTTCCTGTTCTGTTATTTTATAAAGTTCTTATAACACGCCGACTAAAGTTAGTCATGATGATCCTCTGAAATTGGAAAGAATAAGAACGCCAGAAATATCTAACCGTAGGAAATTATTTCGATCCATTTATCCACAATATCATACAGCCAGCGAACTTTGCTTCATGCGAAAATCTTCGCTTTGAGCCTAAAGGGTGTAATGAAATTAATGTTATTCGTATGTGATCTCAACAATATTTTTCTAAGTATTTATTAGAAGATCACCGAACCATTGCCCTACAATTTTTTCTACTTTTTTTTTTGTATTGTTTCCTCGCTTATCTCATATAATCTAATAAAGATGAAAGATTAAATCTCTAATGTATGCATTTATGAATATACATTTGTATTCTAGTATTTCTGACTATAATTGAAACTCATCGCTTGATCTTTCCTCACTAGTTCGTTGAAAGGAATTCAAGTATGAGATAGACATCGTCTATTTCATCTCATTAAAAAATGTATTCATTCAAAAGATTATAAACTAAACAGTCTTACATAAATGACTTTTACCTCTGATACTTCTCATAACATTTCTTTTATACAATAATGTCTTATTAGAATTGTAGAAAATTATTTGGCTTTTTGATAAGAAGCCGAAAATACTTGTCTTGTTTACATAGAAATAAAGGTTTCATAATATAGCTCCCCATCTGTCAGTCAGTGCATAAGATGTTCAAGACAATGCCCATCTCATAAAGGCACACTGCATGCAAAAATTTTTGGACTGTACTCGATAATTAACATTCATTTCTCTGAGTTTATACGTGTTTGACGCTTATTTCATACAGAATGTCAGGAAAGTCATTTAGCCAAAAGAAAATCTTATATCTCTGCCATTTCTTTTCTAATTTGAATAATTTTATTTAGGGAAAAGAAATGTTCCAAATTTTATTTGGTAATACAAGTAGAACTTGTACTTTTCCTAAGTAATTCTCTGAATTTCTGGGATTTCTTGGGAATTATTTAGGTTCCAGAAATACTTCGAGTTTGTCTTCACTTCCATCTAGTTCATTTTTCATTCATTGGAATTCTCGAGGTTCTGAACAAATCGGTAGAATCTATTCTTTTCTTCAGTAATTCACTCAATTTTTTCATCGCTTACCGACTTACGAGGGAACATTTTCAGGTGCTAAAAAGCTTTTCAACCGGGGATGTGATAACTAGATAGGGCATAGCTAGCAGTGATACACCCTAAGTTAGTTCGCGCCCAAGTTGAGATTTGGCTGAGATATCGACTTTTTACTAGAATTTGCCTATGGGACCCCATCTTTCCCATGAAATCAAAGTTTTGAATTTTGAGGTGAGACTTTGCCCATATCAAGGCCTCGGCTAGGGTAGTTCATCCACAAAGTTTCAGAATTTTCGGGCTAAGCATTCCCGAGATTTGAGTCTGTTAGTATAAGCACAGTTTTTTACGGATATTGCTGTATGCATGGATATTTTGAAAACATTATATCTCGGGAATGCTTAGCTTGAAAATTCTGAAACTTTGTGGATGAACTACCCTAGCCGAGGCCTTGATATGGGCAAAGTCTCACCTCAAAATTCAAAACTTTGATTTCATGGGAAAGATGGGGTCCCATAGGCAAATTCTAGTAAAAAGTCGATATCTCAGCCAAATCTCAACTTGGGCGCGAACTAACTTAGGGTGTATCACTGCTAGCTATGCCCTATCTAGTTATCACATCCCCGGTTGAAAAGCTTTTTAGCACCTGAAAATGTTCCCTCGTTAGTCATAGTTACTGTTCACAAGAATTATCGACTGTTACTTTTACAAGTTGCTGTGTATGTACATCACTTACCATATGAAACTACTTCGATAGTTAGTTCAAGTCTCTATCAATAGTATGTAAGATCAACGGAACGATATTCAACGTCCATAGTGAGGAATTTGATGAAGATAGCCATCATTGAGTTCAAGATTAACTGTCATTGCAATGCATACTAGACGTTATTTACGTAGACGGAAACGTTCAAGTTTACGGAAATAATGAATAAAAGTACAATGAGGATAGCTCGAGTTAATTTACCAAGAGAAAAAGAACAAAAAACAAAGATAATTGTTACAATAACAATGAGAAAAAGAAAAGAAAAAACCTATCTACAAATAAAATAACACCTGGAATACCTACCAATATTGCGAACATAGAGCAAACTAACTAATTACTAAATTTAGTTTTATAAGCTCACTTCAACATTTGCATGCACCAATCAATCTGCTGCTCTTTAGCTAGATTCTTCAAAATGGAACATTCGAAAGCGGCCATTGTCTTCAAACGACTGGCGAATGACTTCATAAATCTCTGGTAATTGTTGTTTTCCTTTTTTTCTCTATCTTTGTCTGGAAGCAAATGAACATTTTCCATTGACAGACTATTGGATTTTTAGTAAAATTTTGACTGAGTCCAGGGCATACACCCGAAGAAGAGACGTCTTTTCATGTTTTTGTTTTTGGATTGAGCTACACTTTTGATTAATTCGTCGCTTTATTTTTGGAATTGTTGGTAGGTCGGCTAGGGGAAAATGTAGGTTTAGGTCTCCTGGCGAATGAGCTTGCGAACAATCATCTTACAGTTCAAGTTGAGGTTGTCGGTATCGTTCATAGTTGCAGTAATCTCTAGTGTCGGCAATGTTGACGCTGGTTGAGAATGTGTAGCTGGTGCTGCAGCTAGCATGACGGTTTTTGGTGATGACGACGATTTGAATAGTGAACATAAGGCATCTACTACATAACTAATCGGTGAATATAAATTTGAAAGGAATCCTTCCAAACAAATAATGAAGTGATCAATGTTTTTTCTCCACATCCTTCACTATGAGACAATCGTCAGGATCATCTACTGATGGAGCTGATACTGAAGAAAGTGATGTTTTCTTCGTTTCCATGAGTGCCGATGAGGGAGATTCTAAAGACATAGAAGATAAAGTATTATTCCGAATTGATCAGATCAAGCGTGATATAAATGATTGATCAGGTCTTCTATCGATATGCGGATGGAAGCTACGATAGGAAGAATATTACTGCCACAATAAAGTTATCGCAAACTCTCAAAAAGCGTAACTGGTATTGTCATCATCGGGAAAAAGTGAATGGCGCTCGCGATAACTCTGGGTGTATAGTTTTTCATGACATGAGCCAAAATTTAAATTCTTTAATCATGTTTCGGTACCTAAAAAGAGAAATACCATTTTGAAAACCAAGTTAAATTCGGGGACTTGGATTATATGTGTGTAAATTTGATCGAATTTCAATTCTCTCTTAGGGAATCTGAAGATTCTAGGTTTTTAGAAAGATCTTTTAGACTTTCCTCACATTTCTTGAAATTTCAAAAAGAATTTGTGATATTTTAGTAAATTCTTGACATCTTGAGAAATTTTAATGAATTTTTCTTAAGTTTCTCTGATTTCTTGTGAAATATCGAAGAGTCTCTAAAGTCACGGGGACTTTTTTCCATTTTGCACTGAAATTCGCGCGTCTTGGTGTAACCTATGGAATATTCTTCGAATTATTTAATAGGGGAATGATATGAGAAAAGTGCAATATCTCGGTAACAATAAGCTAACTGCCCGAACCTTTTTTTAGAGTACTCATAGCTCATTTGTACCTATATAATGCACATAGCCTTAATCCAAAAACGATTGGCCAATTAGTAACCTTTCCTCGTGAATAGACTTATGCCAATTTTCAATTTTTTTATCGAAGTTTTATCGTTGAAAACTTATCCAGTCTTCTCCTGGATTGAGTCAGACAATGAATCTTGTTAAAACAGTGTTCTAATGGCTTACACAAACCCTATCTTTTGTTCTAGTGTCTTTGTGCAGTCTTAGAATTTTTTCCATTAGTGGAACTACTTTTCAACACAATTCATTTTCTGACTTAGTTTTGAGGAAGAACTAGGATATTTTTTTTTCGACGATACAACATCGATGAAAAAATATAAAACTTTCATTATTGTGCTTAATGTTAAATGCTGGTGTCCAAGATGATCTTAGTTTCTATTCAAATTGTACTCTTGATTGAAGTCTACGAAGTATCAGTCAAAAACACTCGAATCATGTCTGGACCAATGTTTCCTTCGGGTGCTTTTTACTAATCATTGATTTTTTTTCTCTGATGTTTACTTAGCATTTCAGAGCGCTTACAAGCTCTTATCAAACTACATGAAAGTTAGTTTAATTCGCTACCATATTGATAGTTTAATAGACCTAATCTTCATCAATGGTCGGACATAATACACTTATTCACTATTTCAAATGGTCTGAGCATAATGTGAGTAGTTGCAACAGAGCGAATTCTTCCAGCAGTCACTTTCGAAACCCTTGTTTAATAATTTTGCGTACAAAAGTCTTTCCATGGGAAGATTTCATCGACTATTGAGTTCCTATTTGTGTTTTGAGAACTTCTTCATCTTTATAGCAGATTTCATTGTTTATACCTAACTACCACGGACAAAATTAACCCAACACGTATTTTTGATAGATATTGTCATTAACGGTCGACCACGAAAGATATAAGTTTTTCAGAAATTTTTTTCGTCTATACAACTTTGTAGAGTTCGTTTCACTGATCATTTTGGTAAAAAAAATATTCAAATTTACTCAATAAATAATGGCATTAGAGTCAAAATACTCAAAACTTAGGACTGTTCGTGACCACTGCAGAGTAGTAGGTGATATTTTTGAGTATTCTGAGCCAAGGTTCGTTATTTATCGGGTAAATTTGAATATTTTTTTTATCAAAATAATCAGCGAAACGAGCTCTACAAAGTTCTATAGACGAAAAAAATTTCTAAAAACTTATATTTTTCGTGGTCGACCGTTAATGAAAATACCTATCAAAAATACGTGTTGGGTTAATTTTGTCCGTGGTAGTAACGTCAATATTTATTCTCAAGCATTTATTTAATTCTTTATATTTAAATGTCATTCTTCAAAATTGCTCAACTAAATTTATTTTCTTGAATTCAATGCAATTCATGTAACAAATTTACATATCGAAGAAAAAAGTAGACAGGTCACACAGCCTGCTTGTCACAGGCAGGCATGCAGGCCCAGTGGCCTAATTAGGACTCTGCTAGTCAATTATCATTGAAATATAAGATTTTAAGTTCACTTACAGCATTTGTTGGTATTGAAAGGCGAACAAATAGCAGCAATGCTGATATGATTGTACGTGAAGTACTTAATAACATATCTGCTGATGACCAATATTTACACACCAATATTAATATCATTCACTATGCCTGGAACACTTCCAGTCAGCTATGCTTCTGTTCATTCGATTCCTTGGACTACTTATGGGCTTCCTGTAGTCCATAGCCCCAAATGTTATCACAAATTTAACTGAAAAGTCTCTTTTTTATTTTCAAGGTTTAAACTTTGATATTAAGATACAAACATCGATTCTAATTATTATTATTACTATCTTTGAAACACTTAATGCTAAATTTTCATTAATATGCTATAGTATAGTTCAAAAAGCAGGAAAACAAATTCATGATTCTATTGGTATGGATTCAAAAGACTTTGATACATCATTCGAAAATATTCGTCTTTTTTTTGATAACACAATAGTTTCTATATGGAAGACTAAGTAGTCGACAATCTTAGTGTTGATTCAACATCTGTATACATAGTTTTGTCTATAGATTTCTTTTTCTATACTTGGTTTCAGCCAAATACAAACAAGAATATATATCCAATAAATTTAAGAGTTACTTTAATATGTTTGATGATTTCTCTATGAATGACCGTGCTTAGTCCTCAAAAAGTATAGTGAATTTATACAGTTAAAAGAAACTTGTTTGACAATTTTTTTAAAATTTGAATCAAGATAGTTTTATGTTGGAATAGATTTTTTTTCTAGTGTTGAAACTCAATTGTTTATCTTCGATATCAACAAGTCAGGTTAAGATGAGTAAATATTCATTATCTTACAGTCACTTGAAAAAAAGAAGAAATAATAACCATGAGAAAAATTTATTCATTAAATTCTTGAATCAAATATGTCACTCATCTAACAATCTTTTATTATCCTGTAGTTTCAAACAGTTAAAATAAAACAAGTTAGTTTTCTATGTAAATAATAGATTTGATACAAAGAAAAAAGATCGATCGAAATAAACAAACTATTCTGTTGTTCTAATATATTATTGTTAGATAAGTGTAATTATAATCAAACAGATTAATGCTCATATTGTCAAAATCCTATATCATTGTTTCAATTTTATTAATTTTAATCTATTTGGAAAATATTGCTGTTAGAACACAATTTTTAATTGGAAACGGCAAATTTGTCTTTAGTTCAAATCAATTGGCATCAAATGTTTGGTATAGACCAAAAGGACAATTAATCAATGGTCATTATGAAAATAGTTATTCAAACTTTAGTTTATGGCCTAATTTACAATTACACTTACGCAATAATAATGGTTCAATACTAATTCAAGCTTCAGAAATCGGATTTATGAAAAATGAAGTATTGATGACTTTTCGTAAAAATAATATTTCTGTTATTGCAGTTTTACCTGATTTTACTCAATGTTATGATGGTTATACATTAGCATTATTAGAATTGTATGGTCAATCACTAAAAGAGAATTTATTTTGTACAATATTTGATATTTGTAATTCAACAAAAAGACAAGATCCAAATGGAAAAGAATGGTTTGTTACTCAAGATAAATTTTCATATACTCCTGATTTATTAAATTTTGATGAAAGAATTCCAAATTTAGTTCCATATTTTGATTATGATAAATTAATAAATATATCAAGTCATCCAGCACAATAGTTATATGCAAATCTTTCTTGGACAGATTGAAAGGCATTAGGGCGTGTTGACTATTGTCCTGAAGCAGGTTCAGATCGTATTAAAAATCTAATGAATGATTATATTAAATACCTATATGTTATGAATGAAAAATTTATTTTAACAAAAGTTCCTCGAATACAAATCAATTGGAATGTTATTGAAGGTTGAGAATGGAAAGATGAACATTGTTTAGATTTATTGTTCGAAAAATTTAATAATGCTAAAGATTTCTATTATGCTTATCGTTATGCTACTAATCCTTGTCATCAAGATACTCAATATTTAAAAGATTTAGTAGAATTACTTTGTTCAGTAGGACATTGTCCTGAAGTTGTTTATATGGATATGGATTTACCTTATCTTATATCATATTCGTTAGAAGTTCTTCGCATGAAAAAACAAATTTTAAAACTATTGAATGTTTCATTTGAAATTCAATTTAGTTGATCAATGTGCAGAGATTGATAATTGTATTGCAGAAATTCTTCCATCAGATAGTTCGCGAGTTGTATTATATCTTGATGCAAAATCCAAATATCCAAATATAACTTGAAATCAAATGCAAGAACTTAGTTTAATAAATATTTTGAATTTTTTAATCAATCAATATATCGTTGATGAAGATATACATATCGCAATTATAAGTTGGACTACATGACCTATTGAAATTGGTCAAGATATCATTGAATCAAAAGCAGGTACTATGGCACATACTCGCAAATCAAATTTTTGAAAAAATTTTAATTCCACATTCATTCGCAAAATGAACACATATGTACGTTGCTTTCATTTTAAATGGTACTCTGTATTGTTTGAATAAATAACGGATGACTCATAATAAATGGTCATACTTTACTTTTTGTATTTTAATCTCTACCCATGTTAAACAATCAGACGGTAAGATCTTACAAAACTGTACCTCTGATACTGTACGATCCTATAAGATCAGACATCTGATCTGAAGATCTTACATCGGATTTTTTGCCCTGAATTGAGTTAATCCAAGAACAACGAATTTATTGAACATTGTTCTTCGGATATGCTTCTTAAAACATATTACACAATGATGATACATGGCCTTCGCGTGATGAAAACATTGTTCGTTATTTGATTGAACAAACAAATGTTTAACAGTCTGTGCGATTTGGATCCAAATGTTATCACAAACTTAACTGAAAAGTCTCTTTTTTATTTTCAAGATTTAAACTTTGATATTAAGATACACATATCGATTTCAAATTATTATTATTATCACTAACTCTGAAACACATCTTACTAAAATTTCATCATTATTTCATGGTCTGATTAAAAAAAAGTGCGAAAAAAGATTCGCAATTCTGTTGGTATGGATTCGAAAAACTTTGATACATTCTTGGAAATTACTCGTAAACAACTTTAAATAATTGTTTATTATTTACTACATTTTTACAACTATTCACTTTGCTTTTGTAAATAAAGTCTTATTAATTGGTTTCTTGTTCGGATGATTTATCAACTGCTAGAAGACGTGCTTAATCACGCACAATCAATTTGCTTGAAGACATTTGTTAAAGCTATTTTTGAAATAATCTTCAATATAAATATTTCATCATCTTGGTTTACAATACTTCATGTAATGATTAAGATCCATCCGATTGCTGAAGTTTATCAATTATACACAGCACTTGATCTGTAAAATAAGATGGCTATAAGATAATTATAATATATTCTATGTAGAATAGTAAATGCATCTTTATGAAAATATAATTGAACCTTGTCATAATGACTTTCAAGGTTTTGAGTATTAACAAATGATTTTTGTCATCTCGTTTCATTTAACATGTAGTCTTAGGAAATTATTTTATACAGGATTAGTGATCATAAGCCTTCCTTTTTTCCATACTTGTCAGCTTTTTAAAGAGCATTTAACTAATTACTTTTAGAAAAGGCACGTGACATTGTTTTAAAGCTAAATGATTGCGCCAAGTTATAGTTGATGAAGATTGTTCGATTGCAATTCTTCTAGTTTGAACGGCTGCAATCGGTTTATTTGTGACGCATCAAGAGTTCGCCATCTACTATCACTTTATTCAGTCTCTATAAATCTTTTGTCAGCTATGTTCAACAAAGTTTGATTGATCGAAATACGTGCTCATAGCTTTTATTGAGTACTGTAACCGAGATGAGGAATTTTTTAATCGAAAATACTTTCAACAAATGTCTGAAAACAAAAAAAAATTGATTAACTCTTTCTTGTAGGCTTTTATTTGCTAAAACTAGTACTTGTGTTAAATCTTAAGTATATATTACAGTAAAAGATAAATAGTTTATTAAAATATGTCTTTCAATATTCTATCATTCAAGAGAAAACAATTAACATAGTTTTATAATAACAATCGTTAATGGCAAAATCAGCCAAGTATCAAATGAAATATAAAGCTTTGAATAATTAATGATTTGAATGAAGACTGATGGATATAACACTTGTTGTCATTGATATGTAACAACTATGTTTATTTTGCTTGAATAAAATAAAGAAAAATAAGCACTGGAATGAATATAACATAAAACATACAGCAATTGCAAAAATATAACTATAGTTTAATCATCCTGTTTTTCAGGATGAATTTTTTCTCCAGCTGGCACATTTGAATTTGGTGAAATTTTAACATTTTTACCAATCATTGTCAATTCTTTTTTTTCTCCAAGACCAATTGTAGCTCGTTTACCAATAACAACTTTTTCATCAATAATTGATCGTTCAATAACTGCTCCTTCTTCGACATGAACTTCATCAAAAAGAATCGAATCACGTACAGTTGCTCCTGAATCAACAATACAAGCTGGTCCTAGAATTGATCGAATAACTGTTCCACCAATAACACAACCAGGTGAAATAAGACTATTTTCAAAACGAGCTGAATCAAGTAAATGTGCTGGTAAACGTTGCTGAAATAAAATATAACATTAAATAAGTTTAAATAAAATTAATATCTTACTGCACTACGTGTAAGAATAGGCCATTGTGGATCATCTAAATGTAATTCTGATTTTTTTGAAAGTAAATCCATGCTCGCTTGCCAATAACTTTCTGGTATACCGACGTCTCTCCAATAACTATTCAAACGAAATTCCCAAGCATTACCTTCTTTAACTAAATTTGGTAGTAAATCTTCACCATAATCTTTTAATTCACCATCATCAGCTAATTGATCGAGTGTATCCATTAATTTACGATAATCATACACAAATACTTCGGTTGTTACAAGATCAGATTTTGGTTGTTTTGGTTTATATTCAAAATTGACAACACGACCATCTTCATTAACTTGAACAACTCCAAAACGTGATGGTGAATCTCCTTCTGGTACTTTTGTTGTAACTATAGTTACATCCGCTTGATGATCTTTATGAAAATCGATAACATCACGATAATCGAGTTTGTAAACATGATCAGCACTTAAAACTAATAGAAGATCTGGTGAAAATTGATTGAGTAAACGACGTTGTCGATAAATGGCATCTGCATTGCCTTTGGCAAATCCACCTTGATCATCATCTTTCAAAAACAAATGCAAAACATCAATTTTTCATTTTATGTTCATTGTCAAACAGACTTTTCAAGTGTTCAATGTCATAGACTAGATAATATTCTTCGGAGCTAGAGACTACCTTTCAATTCAGAATTTACTTTGGATTACTTATCTATCGTGTCTGAAATTCGAAGTTTATTCAACGATCGACAATATATGATTCTAATAGAGAAAGTTAATTCAAAAATCGACGATCATGAAGCTTGATGTCACAACAAAAATACACTAAAAGTTAAAATCTTTTTTTGAAATGCATTATTCTTAGCATTTCTAGTTGTGATAATTTAGCGAATATATCAAATTAAGTCAAGTTATGGTCTCCAGAAGATGTTCTAGAGAATACTTCACTTTGTGCCATAGATGGGATCAATTCGGTTTAAATTTTGAAAAATCTAAGTCGATCCTATCTCTACTTTGTATCGTGAATATTCCTTAAATTAGTCTTATTTCAAGTTGAATTTCGTTCATAAACATGAACATTTTGGGAGCATCGTTACATATGTTGTATCATCTACTTTTCAATAAAGAAAATGTTTGCTGTCCATTAAAATGTTATGAACTGTAAGGTAATATGTCGCTCCATCTCATGCATATCATTTTTCTATTTTTTTTTCTCTTATATGAATCCTGCTTAAATGTCCTCCTTTCGTTCTTAAAATATATGAAGATAAAAAAAGTCGTCTTACCTTGACTTTTTTCATCATTGCTCTTCTTGTTTTTTTCTTTGCTTTTATTTTTATCTTTATCTTTACTTTCACTTTGATCCTTTTTACCATCATCACTTTTGCTCTTATTATGAATTTCATATGGTGGTAACATTTGAAGACCTCCATAGGTTCTATCCATATCCCATGGACGTCCATTAGCTAAATGTTCATTGAGTTCATGAACTTCATATTGTTCGACAACCCAAACATCTGGCAAATGTGAGTGATGACAGTTACTCATAGAAAAATCAATTAAGCGAAGAGTTCCTCCAAACGGAAGAGCTGGTTTAGCTCGTTGTTCAGTTAGAACATCAAGACGACCACCTTGTCCTCCTGCCAAAACTAATGCTAAAATTTTATTTCGTCTACGTATATTTGATCTACAAAAAAAGATATTCGAAAATTTTTATAATAAAATTAAACAAACGCTTACGTATCATTTTTTGATTGACTATGTTTTCGAGACGTCTTTACACCAATGGATTCTAAACTTGACCGTACTTTATTGACTAAATGAGATTGCATCTATAAAAGAATATTCGAAAACTAAACTCATCTTCATAGATAACTCTTGTTAAAAACAAGTTCTTCTGTTTTTAGCTTTAAAATAATCTTCGAAATATATTCAACTCACTTGTCTATATCGTAATAATGTTGAATAAGAATAGCAAAAATATATGAGGTTATACAGTAGAAAGAATGGATGATTCATTATTTTTATGTTCGACCAATCAGTGAATTAAACAACTAACAGCCTAGTACGACTGAATCATTGAAACATTATTCATTTGAAGAGAAATTAATTTTTTTCTTCAAGCTGGTTTTCATTTATATTGCAAATGAAAGATGTATTCAATCGCATATTGATTTTGTGTGCTAGGAATATTTCACATTTTAAAACAGAATATAACTTATTCAACAAATAATAGTAAAGCTTTGTTATCAATGCTTGATACATAATTCATCGCGGGTCATCATGAGTTCAAAATTTACTTTTTATACAAAGATAAAATGTATGTCGATATCTCATAATACATCAAAAAGTGAAAATGATATCACAAAAATAATACAATCAACATGAACATATTTTTTGATCTATGCAAAAGTCACGATTAGGAATGAACCATTCATAACTATAGACAAATCATTTGACCGTTAATCCTAACATTCATATAAAATGAAGTATGTTTTGCATTAATTAAACCGTATTTTAGAAAAATGGTATAAATTATTCTTAGCTAAAAGATAATATTTTTGCTGTTAAGCTTCGATTAGCTGATTCAAAGATTATAAGTTACTTTATACTTCTAGTTCTCTATAAAATAAATTGATAGTCTTCTAATGAAAGCAACAAAACACTCTCATAAACATAATAAAAAAATTCAGAATTTTTTAAAAATACGTTACGTAACTTTTAAAATAGGATTCTACAGCAAATATTATAATAGATGTTTATATTTTATTAAAAACACAGCTAAAATTCTTCAAAAAACATCCATAAAAGCAACAACATGTGTTATAAATCAACAATAGCTTTAGCTTCTCTTAACAATCGTTCTAAATCACCTCGTTTTTCTAATGCCATTGTATCATCACCACCACCAATACATTTTCCATTAATAAATACTCGTGGTACAGTTTGTGCACCTGTTAATTTTCCAAGTTCATTTTGATATTGATCAGCTCTTGATGGCAATTGATCAAGTTCAAGTACATGATAATTCTTATCTAATTTATATTTTGATAAAATATTTTTTGCTTTTGATGAATAAGGACAATAAGATTTTGAAAAAACCATAACTGGATATTTATGAATTAATTGTTGAATATGATCAGCAACAGATAAATCAGATGATGATAGTGATGAATCAGATGAAGACCATATTGAACCCATATTTATTTTTGTATCACTTCGAGCAAATATATAAATAACAATAATGAAAAAAATCAAAATAAATAACATTAAACAAATACATTCTTTTACACGCATTATTTATCTGTCATACATAAAAAAAAACGTATTCTCAGTTTTCTAAGCTAACAGAAATATACCACCTGGCTCTATTGAACTAGAGCCAATCCACAAGTACTGAATGATTAATCGTGAAATATACGGTTGAATATAATATAATCATATTCTATGTAAAATCATATGGAAATAATAGAATAAAATGATGATATTATACAGAAGTGAGATTGACTAGAGTCTTTCGAATTTATTTGTTTTTCTTTTGTTTTTATAAAGATACTCGATGAATACTGACACCTTTCGGAAAGAAAAATTTTATTGATGACGACTAAATCAATTACAGTTTAAATATATTTTCTTATGATCAAACAAAAGTTGGATTTGGTTCTATTTGTGATGTTGGTGGACTAGTTAGTGATTCAAATTTTCTTTCAGTTTGTCGAAAACTAAATCTATTTGCTTGTAATTTAGCTCGTTTTCGATAGAAAACAAAAGCAATAACTGCAAGAATAAGCACAATAATGAGTATTAAACTAATAGTTGAACCAGGATTTGACGAAGATGTACGTTCATTTGATTCAAAATCTTGTAATGGTTCTTTCTTTCGTTTGAAATTTTCATATTCATTTTCTGTTATCAATCGAAAAAATGAATAATAAGTGATAGAATAAGTAATTATTTTTTGTTCAAGTATACTTGCAGTATCTTCTATTATTGGAGATGCATATATAACTGATGGATATGTTGCTACAGGTATTAATAATGTGGTTGCTGCAGATGAGTCTATACCTATCCATTTTTTAAACCAACTTACACCTATTGAAACAAGGTTTATAACAGTAGTTATGCCAACAATGACTGATACTGGTTCTACCATCATACAATTTATTATAGAATTTTTTAAAGAGAGAAAAAGAAAAAAAATTAAAGTAAAAAAAAAATTGTAAAGGAAAGTGCGCTTTTGTTCGCTTTTTTCTTAATTTTCTATACATATCCATTTATTGATATTCAATAATAATTAGTTCAAAATTTATCAACGATTGAGTAATTAAATAGATATGAAGAAATTCAAATTAAATTTACGTACAAAAGTGAACACTAACTACGTCAAAGAATTTAGATATTAGCAATAATTATTATTATTCAGTAATTGGTAATAATATTATTACTTTTTACTTTGCATCAGTATTTCGTTTGTTATTACTATTGTGATATTAGCGAAGTATGAAATAATATCTTATTATTCTATTATACGAATGTGAGTCTTTCTTTCATCTACACCTTTAATCAAAAGGGAAAAGAGATGCCAACATAGAAAGCTGTTGTGACACTAAGATGACGTGCCTGAGTAGGTTCTTATGAGCTTGCTATGAATCCTAGAAAACTTTAAAAAGTTCTATAGAATCTAATGTATTTTTAGGAACGTGAGGAATTCCTAGGCTTCACGATTCTGTTATTCAACCCTTAATCTTATTCTGTCAAGAAAGCATGAATATTTGGGATATATCTACATTGGGAATATCGAACCTAGCGTTGCCATAATGATTTTGTGTCGAAGCAGAAATTTAATCAAACATTAGAAGTTTTCTACTATCGTATTTTTTTATTACTTATTGCAAGTAATGGTATTGTACCACTATGAGATATTTAACACAATGTCATCGATTTCGATATAAAACAAATTATATTTTTCTAACTTATTTTTGTTTTGGCGCAACAATGAACAAATTTTTTTTCTAGATTAATTTGGAAAACAATATTACAAATTTTCACTAGTTTAGATGAGACTATTTAAAATTTGTTTTATGCATACAACAAAAACAGAAATTTCTATTCTATTGAAAACAAGTTGTTTGGCGCTTTAACAACTCAATAATGCAGAGATCAATAACAAAAACGAAAGAGAATGTTTCATATCAGAAAAGTCAACCATCGAATCATTATCGAAAAGAAAAATCATCATCTATTGTGCAAAAGAAAAATGATTTATCTACAGAAATGGCTCATCTATTAAATTCTATTAATAATATTTGTCATCAACCATATAATACCTTAGATGATATATTAAATTCTTCAAATTCAAAGTCAACTTTAGGAAAACTTCATCAACTATTTTTATCGTTAAGAAATAGTAAAGATAAAGATACTTTATTAAGTGAAAAAATATTTGATGATATCATTTTAAATAAGACACAAGGCTTAATAACTAAATTAAATAAAAAAAATAAACATTCGATGAATTTTATTGAATTTATCAAACAAATTGATTTTATTGCAAAAGAAAATCATCTTAGTAAAGAATATCTTTATGAAAAAGTGAGTTTAATATAATAGAATTTCATTCTAAAGATTTCTGTTCTCAGCTTTTACATCGAACATATCTTATTAATAATCGCGATCAAAATAATAATGCTCTTGATTATTCTTCTATTTCTAATAATTTATTATTAAATGAATATAATGACGATTTATCTCGTCTTAAAGATTATTTTATTACACATAGTGAAAAATCAAAAGATCATTCTTATCATCAAATGACTTGTTCAACGTTTATTGAATGCATTTGTCAATATACAAAATTAAATAAAATTGATACTCGTCTTCAATTGAATGGTCTTTTTTATCAAATTCAATCATCATTTGTTAATCAAGGTCTTTATATGCCTGGTTCTCTGACAATAGACTATTATGGATTTATTTTATGTCTTCAACAAATTGCTCAAATATTTAACATTAATTTAAGAATCTTAATCAAAAATTTGATAAATACTTAAATAAATAAAATAACAAAAATCAATTCAATGTATATTTTTATTATCGCAAAAGATAGCATGAAGGCGATATCAGTTTACACAACTTACTGTTCACTGATTATATAAAAAAAAAAATCTTATTTAGTTAGCGTTTTTCTTGTGTGAGAATTTACTTTCTGTTAACTGTGTCGAAGAAGAGAAATAAAAAAAAGATGAGTAGGTATTGTGACAATCAATATATTATCAGAACAAAACAAAAACAACAGTTCTAATAAATCTATGAACAAATAACAAAATAAAAGAAAGACTATTATTTCACTTTTTGATGGACATTTACAATATTTCACACCAGTCGTTTTAAAAAACACTGGAATACCAATACGACTTTCATTATAAAATTACCACCATTTTGTGAACTATTCACCTGTTATGACTTTATCTCGAAAAAAAAAGCTAATTGGAATAAATTTGTTACGTAATCCACTGACAGAAACTCGTGTCTACAGACTATGTCTCAATTGCGAACAAAAATGTAATTATTTAGCATGAAAAAATTCGAAATTTGAAATACAAAAAAAATGATGATCTTATTTTTAATAGACTTCCTAATTGCAAATACTTTTTAGTTATCAAAGTATTCAACTGTCTCATCTGACTAAACAAATACGTAAAAGAAAACTTCTTCATTAATTTTTCTTATAGACTAATCATTGTAATGCTCATCAACTTAATTTTCATTCGCAATATGGAAGTTATGCATGCGATACGCTTGAGAGGAGATCAATAATCTTGTTGGTTATACAAACAATATCATCCACATGCTTCAATATATATATATATTTGTTTTTTTTCATTCATTCTTATTTGCAAAATACGCAGAACGAAACGATAAAGGTGAGTTGAGTTTAGCTTATATATTTCTTTATACAATCAACACAAACATTATCTGTCTTTTTTTTTGCCTGCAAGATATTATTATATTTGTTTTCACTCGACAAAGTATAGTATTGATCTAATAGATATTTTTTTTGTCGTCTTATCTAATTCCTATTATGTTTCATATTTTAATCTTACAAGCTATATTAGGATAGTTTTTAAATACATTTCAAATATTTATTTGAATATAATGTAAAAATCTATCAGCAGAAAAAAATATATTGACACTATTTAAAAGTTTTTTGTTTTGCTTGCTGTTTTTAGTCAACATGCATTATTCGCCATTAGTTGAAACAGATTCTACTTTCCATCAGTCAACTAAAACTATTGATTCAATTGATGGTACTTGTCATATTCGACCTGATCGTACTGATTATTTATGTCGTATGTGCAAGAATCAACTAATTAAAAAACAACCAACTAATCATACACCAATTGAATGTCTTAGTCAAAGATGCGAATTATTCGAAGCTGAAATTGTTCAACTTAAAGATCGTGATATGAAATCACGTTTACAAATAAAACAACTTGAAAATAAAATAATGGCATTAGAAGATGCAATAAAAGGGCTGACAACACCGAAAGACCTACTCGCAACTCCGTTTAGTTTAGGTGTAGGACACAAACTTCGACGTCAATTGAATAAATCAAATTCTGAAGATACACTTTCAAATAAACCAGATGTAAACTATGATAACATTTTACAACCAAAGAAAACAAGTAGTCGAGAACGTATCGGACTTTTTGGAAGTCTTGGAGCATCATCTCAACAGCCTTAAATCATAAATTAAGGAATCTTATATTAATAATCTAGATAAAAACTCTTTATATGCATATAGCTTGAATATGTCTAAATGATTGTATTTGCACAAGACATACATATTTGCATAAAAAAGAATCTTTTAATTAAATTTATTAAGCATGACTAACAATCCTAAATGTTTGATCTATATGTACATCTTTCTTTTTGTGATACAGTACTTGACAACAGTGTACAATTACTCAGCTTTCACAACCCATCAGACTCGTGGAACTAAACTTTGCAAAAATGAGTTTCTTAGTGCCGCTCATGAAGATTAGTGAGATTTTTCCGTATTTTACCGATTAGAGAGTATTTTGCTACTGAAAATTTTAGTACACAAAACTATGAATCTGTTTCCTTTAGTTCTCCAAGAATGATGATCATCTTACTGATAAATTTACATTTCTAAAACTTTTATATCACTCTTCTAGTTAGATGAACTCCCCCAAAATATAATATTTGTGTACCAAATTTTCTTCGAACATTTCTTAGTTACTCTCCTATATATAATGCAAGTTTCTACAGATTATGTTGTAATGATGAGAAATGGAGCTCTGACCAAGACCTTTAAACGTCGTAATAGAAAAGTAGATTATTTGAAAATTTTGCCTTGAGAAGAGCATCATTTGACGTTTATTTCTATGTAAAAATGTTCGAGTTTTGATGCGCAACTTTCTTCTAATAGTACAGCTTTTGCCTAGATCAGTTTTTCATATTGCCTGGAACAACTAATCAATTTCTATATATCTAGATCTCATATAATTTAAATACATTTGGACTAAAGTTTATGTCGACGTTCAAGGGTCACCATGAATGATATCTTTGTTAAGTCGCAGTGCATGGTATCGTATTAGTGCGAAGATTCAGGAACATCAAAGACTTTTCTGGACTACTACTACAAATAAATAAGTTTTTGATAGATTCTGTTTTTTGGTTTTCATAAAATGATTGATATTAATCAATATTTCTTTGTTTTGATAGAATCAGGTTTTTATATTTCTTGTGTGAGTAATAATAATGTTATTTGTTGAATTAGAGTGTTAATCTTTTTAAGTGATATCTATCATTATAAAATAACCTGATATTCTAATAAAAATCGAGTGTCATGCGACAGGACGTTTAAAAACACGTTATAATGTCTAGAAAATCTTAACCAATGAAGACAATAGCAACATTTGAATATTCAATTAAAATAAAACCAAATAGAAAAAAAAACGAATATAAAATAATAAAGAATGAAGGAGTTGTTTTTATAATATATTTGGCTTGACTATATTGATGCCAATAATAATACTTAGTTTTAGTTTTTATTTTGTTACTATATGATAGAATAAACTTGCAATGCTAATGAAAATCAAGAAATGAAACAAAATCTTCCGTTACAATTACAAAGGTATGTAAGATCATAGGAAGTCAGTCTTAGAGAAAACTTATGAAAAGATTGAATAACTTTGCAAGATATTTGTGAGAGTATTTGAACTATTAGCAATCGTTAGTAATTAGATTTAATTGATTAGCAAAAAAAAACATTGATCTGTCTGAGATATTGTTTTTCATTGAAAAAAGAATGTCATATCTTTCTTGTTATGTCCTAAAGAAATAATAATAAAATTCAAAGGAGCACTACAAACTTAAATGTATATTTTCACATAAACTCATATATGCTAATATTCATCAGTCTTGTTAATTGTTTAATTACAGTAATAATTTTGTTTTACTATTTTTTTTTTATACACAATGCTAATATAAAAGAGAGACAAACACAATAGATGCATACAAATTTGATACAACAGTATGATATTTGTCCACAAAATGATCAATTAAAGCATAATCATAAATATTTCAAATTTTCAAGACAACCCTTATTTACATGAACTAAAGTTATTTTATTTTATCTTTCAAATTGAAATTGAAAAAATATCTTGTCATAAAAGAAAAAAATATAAAACTATTGTTCTTGTCAAGTTTCAAACGACATATCAAAATACATAGTACAGAATATTTATTATTTTCAATTTGATTCTTGTTCAAATTGAGACCAAGCTTCATTTAATTCAACAAAAATAAGTTTAGCTAATGGTTCATTTGGATCACCACGAAGCTTTAAAAATAAAATAAAACTCATTTTAAAAAAGAGTACATATTAAAATTATTTCTTACTTTATCTGGATGAATATGAAGTACTGCTTTTCTATAAACTTTTTTAACTTGTTCATGTGTTATTAATTCATTTAATTGACATCCAGTCCATGTACATTCTGGCCATGTTACAGTTGATAAAGAACATAACAATGCTCGAATATTTCTTTTTTTACCTTCAGTCCACTCTCGAACCTATTTAACTTATAAATATTGAACTAATTATATTTTAATTAATTTTTACTTTAAGAACTATTGGATCGATATCTTTAAGCAATGCAGATTTTCGCTGATCACCTATTGTAAGTGGTGTTGTAGGTTCAGATTTAGATTTCCAATCATTATTAAATCCTTGTATTCCATAAAGATCTATATCAAAATGAATTTTTGGTCTGTATAAACCATTTCGACGTAAATCTGGTTTAACTGAGTCTATCAACAAAAAAATATTTACCAAAAGTATAAAAATTTTTCGTTTCCTTTACTTGATTTTGGCTGAGGAGAAGAAGTTTTATTTGTTGTTACATTAACATTATAATTAGGATTAGTTGTTACTGCTGTTGTATTAGGTTGTTGGGTTGAACCTAAAAGAAAAAAAAAAAATATGGAACGCTTCACGATTTTGCGTGTCATCCTTGCGCAGGGGCCATGCTAATCTTCTCTGTATCGTTCCAATTTTATTATATGTCCCACCGAAGTGGGACGATTATCTCTCTATTTTATCACTATATATATTGAATCAAGAGAAATAGAAAAAAAATGGTGAATGAATAGAATGGAAAATTTCGAGCAATAGAAACGACTGACATCTATTAAAAGATAGTCTTACTTGACAAGTTCTGTATTGTGTTAGTAGTCGTTGGTATTAATATTGGTGTTGGTAAAAGCGTTGGTGATACATTTTTTTGTAGAATAGGTGTATTTAGATCCGAGTCATAATCAAAAAGATTTGTTTGTGAATCAATACTTGAATTGAATTCATATTGTTGTTCATCAGATGATATTGATCTTTTAAATGTATTTACATTATTTGAATTATGTTCTCCAATATCCAGAAGAGTACCAATATTTGTTTGTTCTTGATTTTGTTTTTCATCAATAGATGGTGGTGAAACACTTACTGATAATTGTCGACTAAGATCTTTTTGTTGTTTAAATGAATCATGTATACGATTTATAAATGATGATGGAGATTGAGGAGTCAATGGAAATGAACCTGAAGATAGAAGACTACTTCGTCGTGATGATGAATTACTTGAATCAGGAGATGCTGGAACTTCATTTGTACCATTCATATCATCTAGTTTATTATTTTATTTTTTTTTTAGTAATTTAATTGAAAAGAAATTTATTCTTACTACTTTGATTTTTAAATTGTTTCTCTATATGAAAATAAATCGAATTAATTATTGAAAAAGAAAAAGAATTAATTTACTAAAATCATTGATTTTTTGTTTTAATTCATTTTCACTTTTAAATAAAGCTAAAGGCTGTTTTAGTGTATTATTCAATTGTTTTGAAAATGACTCTTGTTCGTTGATCATAGTTTGTTGAGAATTTGCAATATCAATTATCACACGAAAATTCGTGGCAGATTTTTCATTTTGATCGATTCCATCCAATTCATTTCTTGAATAAGATAACTGTGGATGCTTTGCTGTGCTAAAATTTGAATTAATTGTAAATTCGCCTATACGAATTCCATCTTCCTAAAATAAATTTTAAGTCTTAAATAGATTTTGAAGAAAAGAATTTACATGAGTTCGACGTGAATTACCAATTGTTGCATGTGTTATATGAATTGTTAAATCATCTTTAAATGGAAGATTTATTAGGATAGAACAATTGTTATCTCCTGCGGAATAAACTCTTTACAAAAAGAAGAATAGATTTTATTTAAAAAAAAAAAAAACAAGAAAATTCAAACCGAAGTTTAGCTGCTTCTTGATATGTTGAAAAGATTTTTCTCTGTTCTTGATCATATATATCAACAAATGGACGACAACCATCTCTAATATAAAAAAAAAGACAATAAAATATGTAATTCTACTTAGTAATAAGAAAACAAGGTACTTTTGTCGATTAAGAAATGGTACTGGTGATAAAGTTATCGATTTAAGAATTGATTCATTAAAATGAGGTCTTTCAATAACACCAAATGATAAATCACATAGATATTGAATATATCTGAACAAAATATGATTAGAAAAAAATTTCTTTTTTGTCTAGAAAGAATAAACCTTTTTTGTGACATTGTTAATGATAAGTGTGCACATCGATGGAATTCATAATATTGAATAATTTGATCAACTCGTGGAAATATGTGATGATAGGCAAGTAATGAACATGCTCCAAATGCTAATTGATTTCTGGCATTCTATTTTAAATAAGTTAATTTCTTCGTTAAATAAAATTCGAGAAACCTTACATGACAATGGAGTATAACTATGTTTGATGGTGATTCAAGTAAATATGATGTTACTTTTTGACAAAACCATAATAAAACAGTAAGACGTGGTGATTGATTTTCATTTGATAATGATAAGTTATGAACCTATTAATAAAAAAAAAAATTTTTTCTTTCAAGAAAAATTTAATTTAAAAGCAAACTCTATTATGAAATAGGTTTTGTTGATAAGATAATTGATCAGTAGAAAATTGTTCAAGTGAATAAATCATGTATGATTGCGGATGTTTTCTGTCAAGATCATCGCGAATCAATTCAGCTGTTCGACGTGCAGATGCATCAGCTGCATTTTCTCGTGGTGTTGATATTACTAAAATATTTTATTCAATATTATCATTTTTACAAAGCTATGAAAGAATTAACTACAGATAAGGGAAGGATAACTTGAATATGTGATTGCTTTGTCCTCTAGATAGTCGAATTAATCAGTCATAAAATTAGTGCTAATCGATTCGGTCATTAGTTTAATTTAATTTTTTTTCTATTACTATCATCAAGACTTATTCAGCATTCTTAGTGATCCTTATTGTATTATGCCGTTTATATTTTATATAAACCATTTTGCTCCTTTTTTGTCATGATTAGCTGCTCAAGATTTTGAATTGGTATCAAGTCTACTAGATAGTATGTGAAAAACAGTGTCCCTAGAAAAAAATGTGCATGCTCTATTTCTTAGATATATTCTTTTCAAAGGAATTCATCTTCACTTTTGTTTTGAAGTTGACTTCTTTCTTCTGTAAGTTTCTCAATCTCATATTGTTGTTTGCTGAAAAAAAATCCTCAATTGAATTGATTAGAGAATATCATTTTAATGAATTAAATTGTCTAAAATAATAAATAAGTGAATTAATACCAATTAATCTTGGTGTAATATAAGTAACACCAGTTTCTGTATGATGATTTGATTTATTGTTGGAAACAGTTGGTAATGTTACACTACTTGATCGTAGTAGTCTAAATAAAATAAATTTTTCAAATATAAAAACAAACAAAAACTACGAAAGATGTACTGTTTAGATTGTATGCCCAAAAAACTTTTCCACGATTTTCCTGATGTATTATTATCTGCAGAGGTTGATGTTTTTGGTGTTGCTAGTCAAAATAAAAATTCTTATTGAAAAAACGAAAAAGATTAATTTGTACCTGATGATAGACTTGCTGAAGCATTTGAACTTTTTGAAGCACATGTTTCATTGTTATTATTATCAGAAAAAGGGCGAACAGATTGATTAAGACCATCTTTATTTTCTATAGATGAAGCTTCCACATTTTCAACAATTCTTTGCATGGTGATGTATTGATGTGAATCTGTTTGTAACAGTGTACGACTCTTTATCAGCAAAGAGAAAAAAGTTTAAACCTTCTATTATTAAAAGATTTCTAGTATGTTAAAGAAGAACAGGTACTTCCTTTTATAATAATCATCAAAGAAAGAACATAGTTTTTTTTTTTTTTTATTCGGTGAATTTGAGATCCCAGAAAATAAGAAAGCTGTGTATACGAAGAAAAAAAGAAATATAAAGATAAAAAAAAGTAAAGGTTAAATTTTGTCTAATTGCTGTAATGTCTTATCTATTCTTTTTTAGAATTTGTCTCTGTTTGTGTTGATTTAAGTATCAAGTACTAAAATATTACATATCTTGTATCATGTGTTGATATTAGATAGTTACCATTGAGAATAACATAATTTAGTAAAACTTTTAAATGAATAACTGAAAATATATATAAAGAAATAAAAAGGGACCATAATGCATAAAATTCAACATTTTATTTATCAAAATCAACAACGAAGAAAAATAATGGACTAAACTTATTTTTCTTTTATTTATGTTGTGAATTAGATAACATGTTGATAAGTCATGTGCAGTTTAAGAAAGAAAGTTAAAAAACGTAAATTCTTATATATCAAATAAATTTAGTTCATTCAGTTTATCAAAAGTCTAAAGACATTCTTTTTATTATTGTTAAGAATTTATAGAAAAAGAAAAAGAAAAAAATTGTGCTCAAATACTAACTTGTTTATTAATCGGATAATTATCATACAGTACTAGACAAAAATATTCTTTTCTCGGATCTTAGTCTCTGTGAGAGCGAGACGTCTACAAGTTCTTCTTCAGATAGCCCATAGGCAATGTAAACCAACAGTAACATCAGCATCAATAGAGTTATGATAGGTGCTATTTACGGTCATTGTGGATCTCGTGACTAGAGAACAGATAAGTTTTTTAAATTGTCAAATTTCTGATTTTCTAACCCTGCATTATAGCTATTTCTGGTATAAATCTTATGAAGCTTGGCAAATCACTTTAGTAAAGAAAAATGGTTCATCAATAATTATTGCGAATTTGTCAGGACTCAGAACTCTTCATTAAACAAGTAAATGAAATCATTTTTTAGGCAATGTAGGATTATGAGTTAGGCTACAATTTCATGTTGAACGAGCAATAATAACTCATACATTACCTTAAAAACAGTTCATAATGAAATAAATCTTTTCTTTTTACTATTTTCTGAAAAAGGAAGCAATCATATTCATATATCAAGGTTTGTCTGAAAAGTTCTTTTTCGACGGCTTTACAGTTTTACGAAAAAACAGAAATGATACTATTCTAGATATCTATAGAGTTCTCTGTGAAAATTTTAAAGTGAGTTATGGTGTATAAGGATATGGTTCGTATATTTTTTTACATATTTTAGAGGACAACTACAAGAGATTGTCACACTTTAAATGTTTAGCAGTTTTAGTCCCTATAGTACGTACTTTGATAAAGACAGACACGTTTTATCCCTTCCTAAGAACTTGACAAATAGATGACCCTTCACTGCTCGAAAGACGACCTCGTTTGCTAAAGTAATCAAGACTCCCGAGTCCGAACATGCTCACGATGGTCATTGATATGCGATATGCATTTAGTAAAGAGTTTGCTTCTGAAATTTTCAGGAAACGATAGTCAACTATTATGGAACGTCTTCGAAAAACTTTAGATACATTCATCAAACATTCGCTGAGCTATTGACCGGCCAATAATATCCTATGTCTTTTTTTTTTTGCATATCCAAGTTTTCAGTAAAAATGATCCAGCTCATCCATAGCTTGCTGAATCCGTTCTCGATTTGTAATAGAAAATAAAACATAAAAAGATATTTTTCATACAACGGTTTGATAGGCAAAAGCATCATTAGCAAATAAACACTAAGCAACAATAGCTTCAATGAAGAATTTATACTTTTTTTTCGAATAAGAAGTTTATTTTAAGTGTGTATCCTTTATCTAAGTTTTTATCATAAATAAAAATAGAAGAACTATATTCATGAAAAAGAAGAAAAAGAAAGTTCTCTCTCGTTTTCTTTTTCTTATTAGTTTTGTTAACAGACTTACTGGAAATTATTCATGGAACAAACAATAAGTCTTATCGATCTTTAAAGGCAAGAAAATTACTTGTCAGTTTGAATTATTCATTCGAAATCTAAGAGTTAGGTCTAGATAGAGAATTTTATTTCTTTAGATTGTTTTTCTAGACTAACGACATATAGTGGAGATCAAATCTGATGATAGATAATTGATTCAAATAAAATATATCAATTACGAGCAGAAAAAAAATAAAAGAATAAAAAACTAAAATTGAAAAAGTAATTCTCTAACAATTTGAATAAGTTCAACATACACTGTTGTAATCTATTTATGCATTGACGAATATGTGATTTACACGTGAATCACAGTAACAACTTTAAATATCAGCAACCTGTTTTGGGTACTCAAATAAATTAACTTTTTAATAGTTGCGAGATTCGGGTGTCACATAAGAACCTTCTATTTATCAACACGCACTTTTATAAAAGAAAGAATATTTTTTCATTGTTTGCGACGGATAAGGCGACGAAAGTCGTCTTTCTCCTTATAGACAAGACTTGTATAGGTATGATGATAAGAGACGATCGTATATACGTCATTCACCATCTGTCGAGACAGAGTCGTAATCCTATAGTCGTGTACTATAACTCAATGTGATCGTCATTAAAGTTGTTTTAACAATTCGAATTTGTCATAAAAATTGGAACAAAACCGCCACTTCAAATGATTATGTCACGATTATATCATCGATTTTCGTCACATAGATAATCGATGACAGAGAAATGCACTGCTCGCACACAGACGGAGCGAAGATAGGCGCTTCGCATGCACGATCAGTCTGCACTTTAACTGGAAATATGTATCATATTTGGGCGGTACTCAATCGCAGTTTGACCATGTTAGCTGTTAAAATTTCTTAGTGTACAAACATAGTGATTGATAAATAATACCATTAAAAATTTGCTGTCGTATTTATTTATTTTTTTATTGCTTGTTCCTTTCACTTAGAATGCTCATCTCATATTCTGTATCTACAAATAAATAATGAAAAATACTGATTCTTGCTATTTTCTAGATTAATTCATTGTATCTTATACAGTACTTCATTATTTATTATATTGATTTTGAAAACCTCTATGTCTGATGATAATAGTACTGGATTAATTATCGACGTATCATTAGTGAACAGAAGTAGTAAGTCAACATGAACGAGGCTGTGCGTGTGCCTGTGGGTGAGTGTGAGTGAACAGAAGACCCACATCCTTCTAAGAGTTCCAAGAGGTCTAAGAGTTCCTAGGGTTATAGAAGTTCTGCGATACGGAGTATTTGCAGAGTGTCGTGATTTTAAGAGTTCAGGGTTCTTGAAGAGTTCTGAACTCTTAGAACTCGGCCACTACTGAATTTTCCAGCCAAACTGTTTTGGAGAAGTGGACAGCTATGGGCAATTATCATCGTCTGAAAAAACCTGTGAGCAATAACTTCTAAAGTGTTCAATAAACCCATCTGTTGCTGTCCAACTGCTTTATGTATTTATTAAAATAAAAATCATTGATTCAGTTAGTAATTTTTTTAGTATAATATTGAACCCATACTACATTTTCATTTCGTTTGGATAACGTGATTGAAATCTAGTATTACTCATGCACTTATTTCTGTTGCATACTGTCAAATAATTGCTTTTTTTTTACTATCTTAAAATGTTCGTTATTGGACTGTAAACAATATTTAGAAACTATTCAAAGACTCAAATATAATCAGATATCCCGCATCTTTCCGAATAGTTCTTCAAGACGAGGAAATATTGAGACACGGTTTTCATCGATTTGTAGACAAGTCTAGGACACATCGAACTATGATAGAAAAAGATTTTTATCGGGTTTCCAGGGATCTTTCAGAAGAATCTTTGAAAAAACACATCACCGATCGGAGAAACTTTAGCGAGCTTCTTATCCAACTTAACCCATTCTGCAGCCCAAGTCTGCTCTACAAAACTACGCAAAATGCACGTTTATTTGTTGCTTGGTTCGTGTACTTTTCTAGGTCAGACTCGAGGCTACAAATGGACTAATTTAGATAATAAAAACCGCTGAAACTTCTCTAATCGATGAGATATTTTTTCAAAGATCCTTGAGAAAAATCTCTGAAGCAGCAGCAATTTTCACTATTAAAATTAATCTTATATAAATACAGATTATATCTCTTATAGAATTCTCGAATATTTTCAAAGAAAAATAACAAGTATATTTATTGCTTGTATAAAATATCTAAAATGCGAGAATATAACAAAAAGAACAAAAAACTAGTTTATCAAAACATAAATGTATAGAATATTTAACAGTTTCAATGAATAAAAACATTTGTTTAATTATACTTCCAATGCTTTCATTGTTTCAATAATTTTATCGACAATATACTATAACAGAATAAACAAATAAAGAAATTTTTTGTTGAAAACAAGAACGTACTCTTGCTTCACCAATATTTTCATATGGAACAGCTCGTACATGTAAAGTATCTTTTTTTGTCATACCAAATACGTTTGTTTCCTAAATAAAATATTTTATTTAAATGTAAATCAAATTTTAGATTTACTTTTAACGTTATTTCAATAAAATTTGGATCAAATGTGACAGTTGGTGTTCCTTTTATTTCTTTTAAATGATAATCCCATTCAATATCATAACCAAATGATGAAGATTTATTTTCAATTAAAAATAATATTCGTCTAAAAATAAATAAAATTTATTTTAATTAAAAAATTAATCAATAATTGACTTTGTTGTAGCAAAAAATAAAGTAGATGGTTCTTTGGTCGCATTTATATGTGCAATATAACCTTCCGTAGTGTAGTGTTTATCATCAGGAAATTGCTAAAATCAATATAATATATCATATTCAAAAAAAAAAAAGAAAATAAACATACATCAAATATAAAAGATCCAAAAGTTTCATGAGCAACTGACGGTCGAACAATTCCATCTTTTCCAACATGACGTGGATTACGAACTCGATGAATTATTTCTTCATGTGCTGCAACTCTATTTATAACGAATAAAATATTTTATTTATGATAAAAAAAAAAAAAAAAGAATTTGTTAATATGAAACCTTTTAATTAATTTAAATGATGAACTTGTTAAATCTGCAACACCACTTGCAGGTCTTGCAACAAGACCAAGGAAACCTTTACCTAAACCTTTAATAAAACCTTTTCCACCAGATTTTTTTGCACCTTTAACTGGTTTTTTAACAACACCTTGAACACCTAATACAACATCCTAAACAAATTCAATAAAATATTTAAATAAAAAAGTTCATAATGATAAAAAAAACCTTAATTGCATTTTTTCCACTTGCAACAATATCAGATGTTGCTTGAGATTGATATTCTTTTCTTTGAATTCTTGCATTTTGATAATCTTTATCTAATGTTAATGTAGCTAAACCTTTACTTGCTGCTTCAGTTACTTTTGAAACTGCACCAGCAGCACCACCAACAACAGAACCTAATAAATATTTACTACCTGTTGCAATACCTTCAATAAATTCAATAGGACCTTCCATT